AGAGCTTATATTATCTACTAATACTATCTAACATAGGCTGTTCTTAGCTTAAGACAACTTATATAGTTTTATAGCATGAGCTTACTAGTATACTTTCTATATATTCTACCACAGTATAAGATTATTTTTTAGATTAGACTTATATCTAGCTTATCTAGTTCTGGGTATACAGCTTTTTAACTCTTTTAATAAAATTATTCTGTTCGGTGCTTGCTAATACAGTAATTCTATATAGATTTCAAGAACTGTAATAACCAGGAGCTTAAATCCTTAACTAAAATAATTCTTCTAGAAACTCCTGTCACGCCATGTTAACATTTTAGAGAATTTATATTATAAATCTTAATATTCTCTTCTGATACTAAAGTGGAATTAGTTCTAATTATAAGATTAATATTCTAGAAAAAGTGCCAGCGTGCATAGGCAATAATATAATAAGAATTTCCTGGATTGCTTATAAGTATAATATATTAAATAAAAAAGCTCCCTTATATTAAAAGATTAGAGATTAATAGTATTCTAAGTTATAATAAAGATAATCTACATATTTACTATTACTATTAGTAGTATACTTGTTCTTTTACTCATAAAATTATTCTATCTATATCTTTACTTCAGATAACTGCCACACTCTTTAACATCCTTTCTCTATTAATAATAATTATCATATTTCATGACTTGATGTACATGACTGTATCAGATAAGTTAAAAAAAAACTTCCCTGCAGCTACTTTATTAAAGTAATACACTGATCTGTACTCAAGTTATTGTTAAGTTTTCTGAGAATATCCAGGTATAAACGGGAAATCTTACAATTCTATAATTAAGCTTTCTTTAAATAGGCTCTCAACTTCATTTGATTTCAGATATATTAAGAATTCTATTAAATATTCTTACTAGAATACACTAAACAGCAGACTAGATAGCTTTCTTGTAAACAGGCCTTTATATTACTTTTATAAGCTAAAATATACAAATTTAATAGAGGAAGATTAGGTATTATAAAAATATTATAGTAATAATTACCAGCACTCCTTCATATTCTCTACTTATTTTATTTTAGATATTTTATATTCTTACAGTAATACTCTTGTTACTACTTCCATCTTTTCAGAGATATATATATAAAATCTTCATTAAATTATACTACTGTCTTACACTATGTAGCTTAGTATTTCTATAACTATATATATTATAAGTTATAATAGCTACTGTAACTCAGTCTATATTTAGTCTGGTATATCTCAAGATAACTACTAGTCTACTTATCATTACTATACTTATATAACTAGAACAGGTAGTTTATTTCAATCTTCCACTGGAACAGCCTCTGATAATAATAGCTGTTTATTATATAAATAAGCAAATAAAATTAAAGAAGTAAATAAATTCAGATCCAAGTACAGGAAGTAAACCTGAATCTTTAATTAAAATTTAAGTAGAATTACTAAGAGAATAGATATTAAAATCCAGTTAAACAGTTTATCTCTATATCTGTATAATAAATTCTTAGTTAATTATATAAAAATATTTATTCTCGGTGGTTTAGTAGCATAAAGAGCTTAGACTTCCTATTAATTCTTCAAATAATAAAGAGCTTGGAAGAAAGCTTTCTATACTTAAATAAAATAACACAGTAACTGCAGAAAGTATAATAAAATCTATAATTAAAAGACTATTCATATTTTAATTACTTATTCAGCTATAATAAGATTTAATAAAACATCTTACTGCCTACGGGTTCTTAACAAAATTATGAGCTGTTATTAATAAATCTTATAATAAAAATCATAATCTCAAGAAATATAGCTATATTATTATATTTATATAAGATATTAGTATTACAGCCTAAATACCCTATATATATTATCTCTTATATAGATTATTACACGGAGAACTGCCCGTCTATTAAATTTCATTAATATAAAAAACATATTTTTATAAGAATAACATCTACAAAACATGCAGCAGTATACTGAATAAATAATATAAATAATCTAGCCACAGTCTCTCCGTGGATGAGATATCTTTTAATAAAAAACTTTAATAACTATACTAAGACTTTAGTAAGATAAAGCAGACTGTAGTTAACTAATAATAACTAATATATTATTTAAATGCTTAATATCAAACTGTATATTCCAGATATATATAATAATAAAGAGTACAGTCACTGTATAAAAAGCTTTATATATCAGATAAATATTAAGAAAATCTTGCCAAAGAAATTTCAGTATAATTAGAAAAAGATTCTAATAACAGGTTTACACTGTTCTCATAGTAAGAATATATCTAGTCTAATAAGAAAAAGCATCTGTAGATAAGAAATTTATAGATTTACTTCAGAATAGATTTCTGAAAGTAGAAAAAAAAAGACTTGTTTATCAAGAGTTTAAGCTTCTATATCTTAATTTCCAGCCTGCAGAAGCTATTAAATAACCCTATACATAAAATAACATATTATAATATTACTATATTTATTTAATAATAATCTTTCTGCCTGTAATATTATCTTTAATATTCTAATTTAATTAATCTTAGTAAAGCTATAATCTTTATCATCAGACTTCATCTCTTCTTTAAAAATATCTATTTTAAGCAGCTTTGGAGTATGCATAAAACTATTAAATATTATATCCAGTCTATTATTAATATTAGATTATTATAAAAGACTATATATATTTACAGGGCCTTCAATCCTTAAGACTTTCTATATTATTCAGAGAAATATAATAGAGAGCCAGATAGTAAAAGCTGCTTAATAATAAATATCAGTTATTAATACTTAAATTTAATAGCAGAATTCTGATAGTAATATATAATCTGAACTGGATATTATTATCTTAAATATTTTTATCTATATATAGTCTGTCCCAGGCCTTCAATACTATCTATATAATTTCTATTAACTATAATATTACACTATTAAGTAAGCACACCAACCTCTGCAGTTATATTATATATACCATTCTTATAAAAGTTATTACTAGAATAATTATAATTAAAGTATTTTAAAGCTATTATTCAGCTTTATCTAGCAGCTGCAGAAAGCCGGAGAGACACCTGAGATTATTAATAATTAAAAGATTTTAATTCTTAAATATAGGTTTATATTCAATTAATAAGTTATTAAACTTTACTTATAATACAGAAATATAAACTTTATAATAGAACTCATATAAACTAATAATATTCTCCAGTATCTCAAGAACCTAGTATATTATCTCATTACTAAGAACAGGCTGAGTTATAAAAAGAAATATAATAATCTCTATAAGATATATATTTTACACAGATACCCTTATTTATTAATCCTGGGCACATACTCACAGAAAACAGTAAATAAAAAATAATCTACTACATTGAGATCATTTACAAACCTTACCTGCTGTTATATCTATATTTTAAGCTAAGTATATTCTAGACATAATACTATATCACACTGTGGAATATATAAATTAGAGATTTTTAATACTAAAATAAATAACTCTAACAGAGTATATATTCCCATAATATATATAATAATATTAACTCTATAAGATAAACAGTAAAATTATTATTATCCAGTCTAAAGACTGTATTCTTGAGCACACTAATATCATATTTATATTATACTAGTTTTATATTAGTATTACTGTACATAAGTAAGCAGCAGCAAGTAATAATTATTTAAATCTAAATAATTTATACTTAAGTAAGGCAGAAATAATAAATTTTATACCATAAAGAAATAATAAATAAGAAGAAAATTTATTAAGAAATCAGAAACATTATCCAGCTTTAACTATACCATTATTACAAGTATTAATAAGTTATTAAACACCTCCATGACCTATACAAAGTATATAAAGATAGATTACTTGAGCTTGTAAAGTATGTTATAAATAAAATAAAAGTTATTAATTCATAGATTTATAGTCTTAATAAGAAAAATAAACTACTAACAGACCTAGAAATAATTAACTATAAAATATTCTTATATACTTGAAATAAAGAGAGAGATAAAAATTATACCAAGATTATTCTGGAAGAGTTTTATTAAAAAAAGAGATATTTTAAAGAATAAAGTATCCTTCTCCCAAGCCATGACTTTCATTATTTTAAAAAATCAGTTTTCTTACCTGGTAAAGACTAACCAGCAATCTGGAATATACTAAGTTTATAATTACAGCTATTCTAGAATTTATACAAGTATAATCAGGAGTAATGTCTTACAAGCAATTACAAAATACAGTTACTAAATTATATAAAGAATAAAGACTTTTTATTATACTGTAATATTATTAAGTACTATTATCATGCTCTTTATACTATTATTATGTGCCTGAAGAAAATAAGTAAATATTTAAATAATTAGAAAATAAAATAATAGTCTATCTTCTCAGCTTTCAAGTATGGGATTTAAAGAGAAGATATATAAAGAATATATAAATTCAAAGAACTTCTGATTAGATAAATCCCTAATAACATTAATATAAAGGGACAGAATCAGACAAAAATCTGTATCAAGAATTAAAGCATGCCTCAACAGATCCTGTTTCCAGATATAATATATTTATTATACTGCTAAATACTGAAGTAAGCAATTTTGTTTATAGTGCATGTCGCTGCATAGAATATTATAATCTTTGTATTGAGGTATATAATATTTCTATAATAAACAATATTTTTTACTATCCTCTGGCCATCACTGGCCAGTTTCTAAAGTTTTTTCTAGTCTGACTCCCAGTAAAATATACCAGGAGTAGAGAAAGAAATCCTAGCATTTAAACACAGCCCATGGGTAGCATATATTTGATAGCCCAGAAGATATATATATAATAGTAGCACTTTAGTATATACAGAATTTGAGTAAACTCTAAATATATATACCTATTAAATACATTCACACTATAAACTGGATTAATTATTTTCACTTACTATCTCTATATTATCTTATCTTCTGAAATTAAACCATATCAGAAAATAAATCTCAGCATGTATCTAAATTACTAAATTACTATATTAATATACTACTTAATACAGAGAAAGTCCTGCTTATTAATAATATTTTAACAGTGACTTTCTGCTGGATTCTATTAATTAAATATCTGGTTTTTCCTAGCATATTCACATCTTTACAGATATCTGCATTCTTAAAGAAGGCCAGCAATATAAATAAAGTTAATCAAATAATATATAAAGCTATCCAAAATATCTCCCTTCTTAGTATTGCAGTAACTTACTGTTTTATTAGTCTTTATAAAGCAAGCTAGCTGTACTATCACAACAAGCAGAACTATATATAGATTAAATACAAGTAGAGTGGTTATACCTGACCGTTATACCTTAACCTAACCTTAACCGTAACCTGACAGTTAGGTTAAGGTATAAGAATCCTTTTAACCGTACGGTTAAGGATAGGTTACGGTTAAGAGATTGCTTTAACCAATCTTAACTGCCGGTTAGGAAGGTCAGGTATGCTCAGAAAGTTAATAACTATAGATTAATTAGTAATTTATACAGAGTCTTTACAAGAATAATATACCAGTGGTAATATATTTTTAATTACTGTATTATTAGAACAGATATTAGATTAATTATTAATTAATAATAATCTGATTTTCTGGCTAGCAGCTAGCAGCCTAGTTGCTCCCGCGTTAGGCTTTTATAGATAATACTAGAAATCTGAATATAATTAGATTAGACTACTGGAGAGAAATATATTAATTATTATCTAAATTATTCTTTATATTATCCTGGTCAGTGGTCATGATAATAAAAAGATTATATAATTTAAATATCTATCTATATCTAGATATATATGATATTACTAGACTAAGAAAAAGCTAGATCTTTTTCTTCTAATAATATTCTATTTTCAGAATCATTATTAAGATTATCTATATTTTTATTCTTATTAATATAGAAGATCATTATTAGCTCATTATCTTCTTAATCCTCGGCTGTAAATATAATAGAATCTAGAGAAAGATTATTAAGAATATTCTAATATTCCTCAGTAATAGTAAAGTAATCAGTATATATCTAAAGTATAAGAGCTTTAATAATCTTAGGATGCAGGCGGCTCCAGTAATAGTAACAGATATTCTGAGAATTATTAAAGAGATATTTAATACTGATATTATTAGTTATAATAATTAGAAAGTCTTTAATTATATAATAGAAGATAAGAAACTGATTACAGCAAGACTTCCAGTAGACAAGAATATCAGAATATCCAGTAGTTCCTAGATAACTGTTAATATAAATATAACTTTTAATATAATTAATTCACTATTCCAGTCTTTGATAATCTATATATCTTTAATATTAAGATAAATCTTAAACTCCTTAAAAGTCGTTACAGAAGGTGAGAGCTTCTGGTACTTTAAGATATTATAAAAGATCTTATCCAAATCTAAGAGTGTACTAGAGACTATAAATAGTATATTAATAACAGGATTCTACTAGTAGTAAAAATAGAAGATTTTTTTAAAGATAGTTTAATATTCAAGATATTAATTAATATTATTATCTAGCCAGGCGCCCTTCTTGAATTTTTCAAGTTTTAATATAAGATCTGGAACTATTATAATTACATAGATATAATCTTCAGCTTAGTAGATCTAGTAATAGTATTTACAAAACTTTTAATATATATCCTCCAGATCCTGGAGAATTTCTTTCTTCTAAGATATCTGCTTCCATGCCAGCCGATTAATAAACTGGTCAAGATAATTAAAGAAATTATTATAGATATTATAAATCTTATAAACTGTAGGCCCACTGTTCTCTGACAAGCAGGAAATAAAAAGAAAAAAGAAGTATAAAAGCTTAAGCAGGTATTCTAACTGCTTTTATTTTATTAAAGTAGAATAAAGATAGTTGATATTATCATGATTCTAATACTGGATAAAGTTCTTAATAATTAGATATAGTTTAATTATACAGTAAAGCATAAAATAAATTAAGTTTTATCAGGTTTTATAGTCAAGAAAAAGATAGTATACTGAAGTAGATTCTAACTGCTGAGTAAACTAAAATTTCTCTTAATATTAAAGACTTATATTTATAAAATATGTGATCTTCTGAATCTATAATCAAGAATTAGAGAAGTAGATAAGAGATAATAAATAAAGTATAAAAATTATCTATAAAAGTCTTATATAGAATACTCTAGAAATTATTTATAAAAATCTTATATATCTTATCTCACAGTCCATAGGAGTCCTTTTTAACTGGAGTCTTAATTAATTCTGACTTCAGGAGCCCTTTTTAATTAAAGCCGAGTCTTACTTTTTAACCAGAGCTAAGTCTTAATTCTGGCTCCAGTCAAAAAGAACTCCCGGAGTCAGAATCAAGACTCAGCTCCAGTTAAAAAAGGCTTCCATGGACTATGAGATAGGGTATATAAAACTTTTATAAGTAATTTCTAGAGAATCCTGCAGAAGCCTTCCATAGATAATTCTTATTATATATCTTCTTAATTATCTAGAAGATACCAGAAAAGATCTCCAGTTTCTTATTAATTATTATTATTTTCTTATATATATTCAACAGCTTCATTAGCAGCCTTAATTCAGAGTTTTTAAAGAAAGATATTAATAGAAAGTTGAATAACATGAGCCAGACAGAGAATATAATACTAGCTTTAAATAATCTTTGTAAAATCAGAGTCTATTAAAATATTATAGAGATAGATATCCTAGCTGAGTTAAGCCCAGAATTCTAATATAACAATACTGAATATAGTATTATTATTACTAGTATTATCAGTGGTCACACCCAATAACCGGTAGATAAAATAGTGCTTTTATAGGATCTCTAAGATAATCTTAGCTAGATTCTTACTAGTATAGAATCTAGATACCAGTTAAAAACTTAATAAAATCTTATAATAATCTATATTCTCTATCAGAAAGTATCCAGTTAAAGTAAGAAATACTTTTTAATCTGGATTAATCTAACAGCTAACCATAATTAACATGCGCCCGCTGTCTGGAAATTTTAATAATAATTAAATATATATTTTCTCTGACAGCTCCAAGAGACACTCTTTAATCTATATCTAATAAAAAAGAGTAGATATTCAGGAAAATACTAGAGCAGTAAGATTAATTATTTATTTTTATTAAATATACTTAATAGTACAAAACAGCAGACAGTAGATAATAAGAAAATATAATATTTAATTAAGGAAGTTCCTTTCATCATAGACAGTGGGAATCTAGAGATAATATAATAGATATTAGTAATAATAATCTACTAGAAAATCTATTCATGGAAATATTACTAATAATTATATATTTATAATAATTCTTTCTCCAGTATCTATTTAATAATTTATTTAAAGATATATTAGAATATTTATTTCTTACAGCCCTTATAAAGATAGTAGCTTATAGAACTAATCCTGGAATTATTAATTACTAAATACTATAGAATATATAAGTATACAGTACAGGAAATATAAAGAATATTATCAGGAAATAATATATCTTCTTAAAAGTAAGTCTATATTATTACTGTCTTTTCTTAATTAAAGTAAAAAAATGGCTTCTGGTCTTATATATAAGCCTGGCTAAAAATAGTTATCTTCTACTAGTTATAAAAGATAAGAATCTTTTCTAGAAGAGCTGGATATAAGATAATTTTCTAATATCTTGCAATATACTTAACATTGAGATTTAGAGAAAAAAAGATAATATAGGCTAAAAAGCTATTCTTTATCCGGCTATTATCATGATTTATAAAGATCTGTGAGATAGAGAAAAAAGATTTAATAATATTCTCTAAGAATAAATTTAATGGTTATAATTAATTTATAATAAGTTATCTATCTGTACAAGAAATTAAAGAGAGTAAAGAATAAGAAAAACTTAACTAGTATAATATTATTTTGCTTCTAAATATGTATTAATATAAATATAATCTATTATATTTATATATATCAGAGATATTTAATAATAGTAAGTTTTTATTAAAGACATCTTTTAATCTTATTTACAGGTGAGAGTTTGCAGCATCCAGTAACTGTTATATAGAATATCTCTGATATAATAGATAGTCAGGTTTAATCAAGTAATATAAGAAGAAGTTCTATAAAGATATTCTATAATTATTATAATAATATTATTAGTAAAGTCTGTAAAAGCCTTTTACAAATCTTACTTAGAGAATACTGCCCGAGTCTTTATATTTATAATTAATAAATTATAGAAAATATAGGTTTCTAGATAGACTAAGTAGGAAGAGTCACACAGAATATTATAATTAAATAATACAGATAATTTGCAGTTTTTAGATCTATTATAAATACTTGGACAGTATTTTAAGTATATAAAAAAAATAATAAGTCTATTTATTATTATATAAGATAATTTTCAGAGAGATTTACCAGCCTGGGAAGGTAGTTTGGGGGATATTAATAATTTATTAATAATATATAGCTAAAACAGAGCTGTAAATATATATATTTACTATTATTTTATATTATAAGAATAGCTTTTTTTTATAAACTTGATTATCACCACCACCCGAGATAATATTAGATTAAATAAATAAGAATAGAATAGAGTATGCTGTTTTCTTTCTTCTGACTATTTTTAGAATTAAGAAGATTAATCTTGCATTGGTTATTAGTAAAGATATAAATAATTAGAATAGATAGTTATTAACCTGAGTATACCTTACCCATGCTAAGACCTAAAAGAGTATAGCGGGTAGATCTTGGTGCTAAGGATAATTAAGACAGTTAACCGTCTTATTTTTGGCTGTTCCGCGGTTAGGTATAAGGAAATCTTATACCTAACCGTTAACCTGACGGCAGGTATAAATTTTTCCATTAACCTACCCTACCCTGGCCGTTAACCACTCTAAATACAAGATATTCTTATAGATATAACACATCCCAATCAGAATAACAGGACATCTAACACTCTCCAGACCTGTTCTAATTAATTCAGCTACTAACTTCTTCAATACACTTATCAATATATACACAGCCCGAGCTAAGACATGGTCAGTTACTACTACTATAACTACCGCAGTAACAGGATTCTTTACTATCTTATCTAGAATACTATTTATTTTTTATAACAACTTTCTTCTAGCAAAGCTCCAAAAAGTCTTTAATACTAATACCAGCAAATAAGGACAGTTAATCTTCACTTTCTGGAAATTAGAAAGAGTTATTCTTTTGGCTCCTCAATTTCTAGTATATCTATACTTAAATATATACAGAGCCACTGCCATCTTAATCTAGTATCAATCTTTTATAAAATCTATATTTACAATTCATAAATAATATAATTAAGTAAATTATATTTACTATTATATTTATACTGCATGATACCTAAGATTAAGTATAATCCAGAATCAGAATAACTTTAATTAGAAGGCAGTTACTATTACATTTGACAGTACCAGTTATATATATATTTTATAAAAACAATTCTACAGGATTATCTCTGGATAGACTTCTCAGCAACACTATACAGAATAATATACTAGTCCAAAAGTTATACAGATACTATAAACCAGATACATCCTTTGATATAGGAGATATATATATATTTATAAAGTATTTGGTTCTTAGAAGCATACTTAGTAAGCATCTTAAACAGTGTCTTTGTCTATTAGTTAATATATTCACAAGTAACACGGGTACAGCATCAAGCCAGAGAAGCTAATCTTCACTTATTTAAAGTCTCTAATAACAAAAGCTTGAACAGAACCTCTTCATAAAGCTAAAATATCCATTTTTTAATTCATTATTATTTATTTAAATACATATATATCACTATCAAAGGCCTTTTTTACTGTTTCTATTATAAATAACACACTCTTAAGTTAACTTTTATTTTCTGTAAAGTATTACTACAAGCATCTTAACTTCTCAGACTATCTTTATAAAGCTTGGTATAACTGTTGGTTTTTATCTTTTAACTTAATTATCCTGTTATAAGTACTATTTAATTCTGCTTTAAGCTTCCCCCATTCAGTGTCAGAGGACTTATTATATATTCAGATAACTTTGATAATACCTTCTTTAAGAGCTTCCTGTAGTTTAATATAACTATTTATTAACAATTCGCTTAGCAGCTTCTTGAATAGATAGTTTTTTGATTCCTTGTAAAACTATTTATAACTATTACTAAATAATGGTTGTAATTATACTTTTAAAGATATAATAATCTTATCAGATAGTATATCATCTTCTTGGTATTAGCTGTATCAGACTGAGTACTTTATAACTTATAAATATACTTAGACAGTGCCTCACAGCAGTTATCACACTTAATACAGTAATTTTTATTTCCTGGATTAGATATGATACATATTAATTAGTTAACATGATCATGCAGTATAAGAATATGAAGACATAAAAAACTTAATGGCTAGCTTAATAATATAGTAAGATATAATAAACAGCTTCTCCAAATAAAATCAATATTTAGGGAGATGCCTTACAGCCTGGGCAAAGACTCTTACCATAGGCGAGCTCTGTTATTATTATTATAATTTATATACTTGATTAAATAATCATACTATGTCTATACAGTACTTTGCACAACTACCATGCCTAACACTTACTCTTCCTGCTCTTTTCCCACAACCTAACCCACCTATACTGTAATAATATGTACATAATTATTTTATAAATAGACTTGGCAGATACCAATTTATCCTGTTATACCACAAGCCCTAGCTCATTCCCAGACTGTATATTTAGACAACAGGTAGAAAATATCAGTTTCTTAATCAAAATGAAACTGTAGGCCCTGGTCACATCAAGTTACAGCTCTAATCATCTCCCACGTTCTTATCACGGCAAGGTATAACTTGTGACATTAATAGGCTGGACGTCAACCTCAGAGATAATTGTGGTATTATACCATCCCGTCAGGGTCCCTAGTAGTGTGAGCCTCGTACCTTGCCTGAAGATGACAGCGCACAGGTACAGTTCTTCCGGATACCGGAGTCACTACCTACACTCTTCGTTTGTTTCAGCAACCCCGGGATGAAACAACACTAAGCCCATTGCGGCACGGAGCTGGATCATTGATGAGCCGCGTATGTATGAGAGATAACAGCCTAGTATCATAACACGCTTGTGTAATTAAAATCCTATCAGTCTAGTGTTGAAAGAGAATAATCCCTATTCAACCAGTTGTACTATAGCAATTTACCGATTAGGAGAACAGCGGGGGAGCTATCAGGAACAAGTAGCCACATTCCTTGGATAATCCTTAGTCATCAGAGCGTCGAACTGACCCTCGCCGATAATGTACCTGTACCAGGCGGTGGATACTCGCCCAGCCACTGATCCACAAGAATCGAAGCCTTAAATTCAAATTGTGTTTATCAACAATCAACCACGTGATATAATAAAAGCAGCTCATCGGCTATTGTAACACGTGATCAGACCTACAAACGATGATAACTCGGGCCTTTCTGGAGTTCGGAAACCCCGCTTCTACCTGTAGGCCTATGACTGGCCAATTCAAGCCAGGATATCCTGGTCGTCAGCTGCGCAGCTCGGCAAAGAATCAGGCCGCAAGCGCTGGTCAGTGATGGCGAAGTTCCCCTCTTTTACTGTACCGGTCTTGCCCGGGATTTCTCTCGCTCGACAACATCCACCCAACCCCATCTTGCTGACACCTTTAACGAAAGATGGCGAAACATCTGAGAAAATGCTTCTGCTGTTTGTTCTATCAGGATACCGAGCATGAGAAGCCGGCAACTCAGGCAGCACCCGAAGAGAATCAAAAAGGCCATACCGCCAACGCTGCACAGACAATCCCGCTGGACACCGCATATTTGTCTACTGAGCCAGAACATGCTTTGCAGCCTCGCAAGCCTCGAAACCTGTGGCAAGCTGCTTATAATCAGCTTGAGAGGACTCAGCAGGATATTTTGTTGAAAACGAAGGTATCTGTCGAACCAGGTGACGAAGATAATCGCCTGCCGAGCTCGATTGACCGAGTCATCAAGACAACAAAGGAGGAGTATAAGAAGTATCATGAGACAGCCGATCAAGGCTTTCATGAGACTTCACGGAAAATTCTCAATTTAGCACTGTCGTTTAAAGATATTATAGATGCAGTGACTGCACTCGACCCAACACAACATGCAGCTAGTGCCTGGACGATTGTCTCTCTTGGTCTGACAGTAAGGAATCTTACTAGATGTATTGAAAACTTTCGCTGATATATTCTTTGGCTGAAATTTAGATGGCGAAAAGCTACTCCGATTTGCGCGATGCTTCATTTAAGTCATCGGTGTACCTGGCGGACATTCTTACCTACGGAGCTTTTGTTGAGAAGAGATTTTACAGGGAGAGAAAAACTAATACGGACAGTCGCCCCGTGGAAGAAGCATTCATCAGACTTTATAAAGCTATTCTGAGCTATACAGCCCAGATGCAGAGAACGCGCCAAGCAAGTTTTGGAGAAAAAGTACTCAATTCGGTAACCCGTGATCTTCAGCAGTCGCTTGCCACACTACAAACTGTGGCTGAGGATGAAAAAAATAAATTAACCCTATCAATAACATTCGATCAATACCTTCGCCATGAACAGGATGCGAATGAAATCCTGCACAAGATTGATGCGTTAGCGCAGTCAGTGAAGCATGTACTTGAACATTTTGTTCTTTTGAATCTTCATATAGCGGAAGGAGCATTCTACAACTCCTTTGCCAATCGACATATGGATTACTGTCTGCCTAATACCAGAAGTGAATTTTTTTCCCAAGTGTCAGAATGGATTAAATCAAGCAACAAGTCAATATTTTGGGTGAATGGAATGGCCGGAACAGGAAAGTCTACTATTGCTCGGACAGTCGCTCGAGACTGTGAAAGTCAGGGTCTGCTTGGCGCTACTTTCTTTTTCAACCGGAATGAAAGGGATCGTGCGGATGCAAGACATCTGATATCCACTATTACAAGACAGCTTATTACCAGATATCCGGAACTAGGGCCTGCTGTCTTAGATGTGCTTAAGGGAACCCCAAACATTGCGTCTCAGGATATCCAGAATCAGTTCGAAAAGCTCCTTTATCTGCCTTTGACGACGATAACACCAGACGAAAACCGATTTACTGTGATTATCTTGGATGCCTTGGACGAATGCAACGGCGATGATGACTTGAGACTGATACTTCGACTTGTATCTAAGTTACAGGGGATTGAATCTGTGCAGCTGCGTATATTCCTCACTAGCCGACCTGAAATGCCTATTCGCCTTGGCTTCAGTGAAAATAAGAATCATCTCGATCTGGTCCTCCATGAGCTACCTAAGCCAGTGATTGAACATGATATTCGTGTATTTCTCGATTACAAACTTTCGGAAATCCAGCGTGAGCGTTCGCTTCCTCTCGGTTGGCCAGGGATCGAGAAAAGAGAAAGGCTGGTGCAAATGGCAGTTCCGTTATTTATCTTCGCAGCCACGGCATGTCGCTTTATCAAGGAAGGCAAGCATCCGAAGAAACACCTGGAGAGCTTTCTAGAATCTCAAAATGCAGGGAAAAGCCAGATGGACAAGATATACTTGCCTATTTTACAACAATTTCTAGGCAATAATGAGGACGAGTTCGATAATATTATCGAAGACTTCCAGAATATTGTCGGTGTCATTATTCTTCTTGCTAACCCACTCTCTATTCAATCCTTAGCGTCTCTGTTGAAAGTGAAGGCGGATTATATTAGTGAGGCATTGGATTCTCTACACTCGGTTCTCTACATACCTGGCGATCAAGAAACGCCGGTTCGCATTTTACACCTATCATTTCGGGAATACCTTCTAACAAAAAAGAGTGTTTTCCATGTGGATGAACAAGGAACACATAACAAGATCGCATTACATTGCCTCCGGCTTATGAAAGACCATCTCAAACAGAATATCTGCAAGTTGGAGAATTATGGCATACTGCATGAAGATATCAATCCCCAGATGATAAAAGAACATCTTACTGCTGATTTGAAATACGCCTGCCGTTGTTGGGTTCATCATCTGAAACAGAGCAAGGGTCTGATTTCTGATTATGACGTTCTCTCTTTTCTCCGGGAGCACATCCTTCACTGGTTGGAGGCACTGGCGCTTCTAGGAGAAATCTCGGAAGCAGTAAGACTAATAAGCACTTTACAATCAAGGATATGGGTAAGCTTTCTAAATTCTTCTGTTTTGTAAAGGGTTAGCTAACAATCCTTCTAGAAATCTATAAATACTGAGTTATCAGACTTTCTGTATGATGCAGATAGATTTGTTCGTCAGAATAGTTATATGGCAGGAATTGCCCCACTGCAACTTTACCGTGCTGGACTTGTATTCGCACCGAACAGGAGTATCATCAAAAAAGCTTTCTACAGCAAAGTTATAGGGCAACAAATACAGCTTACAGGGGTGGAAGAATCTTGGAGTCCTAATCTACAGACATTTGAAGGCCATTCCAGTTCAGTCTCCTCGGTGGCCTTGTCGCCGGACGGGCGCATACTGGCGTCGGGCTCGTGGGACGACACCATCAAGCTCTGGGACCCGGCCACGGGCGTCGAGCAGCGCACGCTGACGGGCCATTCCAGTTTAATCTTCTCGGTGGCCTTCTCACCGGACGGGCGCACACTGGCATCGGGCTCGCGCGACCACACCATTAAGCTCTGGAACCCGGTCACGGGCGTCGAGCAGCGCACACTGACGGGCCATTCCAGTACTGTCTTCTCGGTGGCCTTCTCGCCGGACGGGCGCACACTGGCGTCGGGCTCGGATGACAAGACCATCAAGCTCTGGGACCCGGCCACGGGCGTCGAGCAGCGCACGCTGACAGGCCATTCCAGTACTGTCAGCTCGGTGGCCTTCTTACCGGACGGGCGCATACTAGCATCGGGCTCGTGGGACCAGACCATCAAGCTCTGGGA